TATTATTTTTTCTTTATAAAATTTTCGATATTTCAATCTTCTTTTTTATAAAATAAATTTTTGACGCTAAAAATATTTTATTTAGCACAAAAAGGCGTTGTAAATATTGTCTAAAAAGCAATTGCGAACAATCGCAATAATTTTTAATTTTATTACAATAAAATTAAAATGCGATGACGCCAGCAAATTAAACAGCAAATTTTCCAGCATACGGTAAATCGAGTTTTTGAATTTCGTCTACTCTCTCTTTTGCAAGTACTAAAAAAGTTTTGCTTCCATATGTATAAAAAAGTGATTAAAAATGCCTCAAGTGGCCGCATTATTTTAACAATTAAAAATTTAATGACGCAACAAAGAGAAAGAACTTCGAGATTGTCTATTTTAATATTTAGAGAAAGAGAATACTCTCATGAATATTTATAAAAAAATCTTAGAAATTTTTGTCACTTTCGTTTTATATTGTTCCATATAAAGTATTGTTTCGTAAATTTAGTTAATTATAAATATAATTCTTGATAAAAATCGTGCAATTATTATTTATTTTGCATATGTTAAATTAAATAAATTTACATCATATCTTTTTTAATGAAAACATTTACAATCAAAATTTCAAACAACAAAATGTTAAGATAATTATTTTTTTTAGGTGGGGATATTATCATAGACCACGGCGGCGGCCACGGCGGCGGGGGTGGTTATGGCGGCGGGGGTGGTTATGGCGGCGGAGGTGGCTATGGGGGTGGTCACGGAAGCGGTGGTCATGGCGGTGGTGGCGGCGGTATAATTATAGAACATGATGGACATGGCGGCGGCGGTGGCGGACACGGAGGCGGTGGTTTTGACAGTGGACATGGAGGTGGTGGATATGGTGGCGGCAATGGGGGTGGTATTATTATAGAACACGGAGGACATGGCGGTAGTGGTGGTTTTGATAGTGGTCATGGAAGCGGTGGTCATGGAGGCGGCGGTTTTGGAGGCGGCGGTTATGGAGGCGGCGGTGTTATCATCGAACACCATGGACATGGTGGCGGCGGCGGCGGCGGTGGCGGTTTTGGAGGTGGACATGGAAGCAGTTTTGGAGGCGGTCATGGCGGCGGATTTGGGGGAAGTAGCGGATATGGCGGCGGACATGGTGGCGGTTTTGGAGGAGGTCATGGAGGCGGCTTTGGAGGTGGACATGGTGACAGTTTTGGAGGCGGTCATGGTGGCGGATTCGGGGGAGGATATAGCAGCGGACATGGTGGCGGTTTTGGAGGTGGCCATGGTGGCGGTCATGGAGGCGGTCATGGTGGCGGTCATGGAGGCGGATACGGAGGTGGTGGATTTGGCGATTCTGGAGGTGGATTTGGGGGCGGACATGGCACTGGTGGCGATGATCATCATATTAGCTCCAGCAGTTACGGCAACAGTATATCGTCTGGTTTCGGTAGCAGGTAAATATTTAAGCAATTTGCAAACGGCTGATTGTGATTGATACAAAAAGATAATTAGAACGCGAATGCAAAAAAATCTCGATTTTTCTATTCAGATTTGTATACATATATACATCCGCATGTGTAATATTTTATATTAATATGAAATCTTTCAGCGGCCATGGCGGAAGCAGTTATAGTTCTGGCGGTAGCTTTGATTCGTATTCAAGTGGTCATGGCGGTGGCGGTGGCGGCGGCGATAGTTACAGTGGAGGCCATGGTGGTGGTTTTTCCGGTTACCACAAGAAAAAATAGGATCGCGCTATGATCAATATGTTGTGCAAAGCATGCATTAGAAACATCTATAGCCTTATTAACATCTATTTCAATTGATCGGTATAGATGCGAATATCCTTTAATAATAATCACAGTATCATCACTTTGATTATGATGTAACAATCAAAAAGTATGACGTACGATAATGTGTGATAATGTTTTCTTATAGTTTCTACATATTTCGACGAAATGAACGGTCAATCGACTAAAACTTGTTTTCACTGATAGAATTATTTTATACTAAAAAATGATTTAAAATGCTTTTAGTATTTTTGAACTTACAGACTTGCAAAATTTCTTTACAAATTTTCTTCTATTTCTATTAAATTTTCAGACATTCAAATATTTCTATTAGTCCCATCTTTGACAGATAGTATATCGATGACAGAATAATCAAATGCAACAATTTTACTGATTTTGCAGCAGATTTTTACGCGACAGACGAAATGACGACAAAGTAACTTTAACTCAATAACGACAAAAAAAACTGACGCATGCATGACTGAAATTTATATTCTTCCACAAAGCTATGAAACATAAAAAAAGAACTACAAATTATCAGAAATAGCTTTTTTAAACATCGGGACGAAATTGATAAAAAATTTTATTTGAAATTTTGAGATATTTTTTATATTATAGATTTCTCTATTATATTATGCATACAAATGGACGGAAAAACTTGACTCACACACACACAACTGATACGTTTGACGTTATGACCACGTAGACAATTTTTTTCTTTATTGCCTATGGAAGAAATTAAAGCAGTAAACTGCTAATTTTCAAGTTGACATTCACATTGATTTAACTTGACTAATTTACGATAATGACAGATTTATGACATTCCACGAGAAACAATTACAGACGTAAACAATTTTATTTAAATATGATTTAAATATTCGAACTTATTTATGTCATATCACAAGTCTTATATTACGAGTCTTATTATAATTGAAATAATCGATTTTATTGTCAATTCTAGAAATAATATCAGAGTATCAGGAATATTAATAATTTAAGTTCAAGTAATCTTTAAAAAGGATTATAGAGCACTTAAATCACATTTTGCGATAAAAGCTATCGAGCGTATATCGTCATAATTCATTATTACACGACCATGTTTATAAATTTCTACACCTCATAGTTAAACCCGGCACGCATTTCAATTTTAGATCTTCACGTGCCTCGTTCAGCACTTTGGCAGTTAATATCTCATATAAACGTAATTGCGATTCACCGACCGAGTGCATACTCAAAGCAACATGTTGTGTTTGTACATATAATACGTTTTGTAAATAGAGCATTTTGTGTGTGTTATATTGTTATATATATTTTTTTTTTAATAAAGTTTTTTATATGTTTTTAATATACCATATTGTATCTTCCCGTATCAATAGAATATTAATTGTTTCCTCATAGTATTATAATTTTTTACAATTATTTGATAAATGTGTAATTTTATCTACAAATCGCAAAAAAATAAAAATCTTTTTTTTTAAATGGCAAGAATATTAGAAAAATCTAACGGGTAAATATTAATATCACACAATAAAAATAAAAGTTTTGGATATATACATATATTGATAGAATTTTGCATATTTTAAAAATAACAGTCGAATAATACCAAGTTAAAAGCAATTCTCGGGGAGAAAATTGCTTTTTGAGATAATATTGATAAAATAACTAGCATAAATAACTTTATGTTAGTGGTATTTTATTTGAAAATGCTCATTGTAATTTATGTATATAGGTATGAAAATGTTCCGCTTTCACTTATATTTTTCGATTTTTTCTTCACTAATTCCTAATATTTACATTAATACTTGTCCATTCCGTTAATATTATTATGGTCATTAATCACAAAGAATGATATGAAAAGCAGTATAGGAAGCTTATGATTAGCTAGCACATAAATTATAGCCTTTCGCGTATTCTCACTTACAATTAACATTTTACGATGTAAAAATATCAGCCGACATCATAACATTAACTATTTTGTTCGCAGAAAACTTATTGAATGCGTTTATATAAACTAATGCATTTTATGCGTTTATATTAATGTCACGATAATAGGAGAAAAGAGAGAAAAAATAGATTTCATTTTTATATATTTATATATTTTCTTTCCAAAAATGTAACCCAAATTTTTCCATAATTTTTCTTTTAAGTGTATAAATTTAAAGATAAAAATTAAAGCGGAAAATTTTTTATAATGAATAAAGTGGAACAATCTCTAATTGCTGTAATCATTAATATTTCAACAAAAATGATTTTTTTAGGAAAGTAAAGTTCTTAACTTCTAAGAATATGTAACCCGAAGTATTTGCTTGCATTTCTGGTGGCTAAATACGCGGCGTTCATACACATACCAAAAACACCTTGCATCGATATCAATGAAGATTCATTGTGGTATCTTTTGAGACAAATAATATTGTTTGACCTCAACATTTTTTATTATTTTATTTTTGCACAAATTTATTTTAACATTTGAATATTATATATATCCTGCTATTTTTTTAGTAAAATATTTAAATATAATTTTCACTTCTTAATTAGTATTAATTTCGCTTAATGACTCAATCATCGATAGCTCTTAACCGTCATGATAAGGATCGTAAAGACGCGTTGATGTTGGATTAGTTCGAAATGGAAAGTAAGCGGACAGTAAAAGAACGAATCATATGATAAATGTGGCGTGATTTCACTCGTATGCATGCACATATTATACATGCAGCGCGAAGCACTAAAACGAATATAATAAGCTTCGCGTTAATTAGCAAAAAAATTTAAATAAACACATAATTACTAATTGGAAAAGATCTCTTTTTAAGTACAATCAGAGAGGGCCCGCGAGACAAAAACTAAGAGAGTTAATGAAGATGCAACAAGATACATCTCGTAGAACGTCATCCAAAAAATATATTTGCTCATTTCCGTAAGCGATTAATAAAGATAATTAGAATTAATAAAGAAAATTTACTTTAATTAATTGAAGAATAATCCGTTGATTTTCATTCGAAGGAGAAATCTTGTCGGCTCTACATTTCCGACACAAACTTCCGGTTTAATATTTCTTTGTGTATAATTGGATAATACGAGGGTAGGTATCATGCTCGAGAAAGGCGTGATCGGTATATCCACTAACTGATGCGTGAAGTTGCAGGAAGTCCGTGAAAATTGCGTTCGCAGCAATGCGCGCGCAAATAATCGCACGTAAGATTTTATGTAAAATTCGCTAAAGTGAGAGTGATTTGGGCGGGGTAATTCACTCAGGAACTGTTTCCAGTGCACTGCTCATACACGGTTCATTGATTATGTTTCTGTTTATAAGGCTGATGCGAAAGAGACTCTTATTAGTTATCGTACAGTTGCAGTCTCGGAGGAATTGAACGTCCATTCCGCGTTTATATCGAGTGAATATGGTCAAGCTCGGAATACATGTGCGTGTCAATCAAATTATGGATGTGAATCTGTTGGTTTGATCGCACGAGACGAAGCGATTCGCATGGATAATTCGAAAAGTGACATTTTCTTATTTATTTCTTCCTCAAATGTAATTCTTGATGCGCAAGTGACGGTTAGCCTTAAAGAAGCTGACAAATTTATACTTTAAACAATCCGCTTTAATTTTGCGTGTAATATAAAAATAATTCATCAAAATTTCATCACATAAAAAAATTATTTTTTAAATTAAAATTTTTTTTCTGTGTATATAGATATTTATTATATCTGAATTTTACCGTGTTTTTGTAAAGATTCGAAGATACATAAATATTTCAGAAAGATATCTGCGGATGGCAGTATTCTTATCTTTATCTAATTATTAACTTTTAATTTAAAGATTAACTTTCCAATATTATTTTGCACAGTTAAAAAGAAAATAGTAATTTTGAAAGGCGAGATAATTATAAATGAAGAATTGTGATTTCTCAAATAAAAAAACTATATTAAATATTGGATATTCATAATGTAATTATTATCCAAAAATTGATAAATTTTTATTATTTTTTAACAACAGATTTGTTGGTCAAAATTTTTAAATTTAATTTTTTCCAACCTTTATTTTAAAATTTAAATTAGCGAGAAAAGAATTGCAAAATTAAAAATAATACAGTATAAATGAGATACTCTTTCTCTATAGAAAAATAAAATTATTTCGAATAGCTTCGATAACATGCGCGCACGCGATGATCAGCTTATTAGCCGCATATAGTTTCACCTAATAATGTGTAATTTTACGTTTGCTTCGATCACTACCGCTTCCGAATTGATTTCCTAACGAGTCTAGTATACGATCGAAACGTACTTTCTCCGATCACATTACCGTGAAAGGTTTATGATTTACTTCTGACTTGACCAAGAATTTATATTGGATATTCATAATGTAATTATTATCCAAAAATTGATAAATTTTTATTATTTTTTAACAACAGATTTGTTGGTCAAAATTTTTAAATTTAATTTTTTCCAACCTTTATTTTAAAATTTAAATTAGCGAGAAAAGAATTGCAAAATTAAAAATAATACAGTATAAATGAGATACTCTTTCTCTATAGAAAAATAAAATTATTTCGAATAGCTTCGATAACATGCGCGCACGCGATGATCAGCTTATTAGCCGCATATAGTTTCACCTAATAATGTGTAATTTTACGTTTGCTTCGATCACTACCGCTTCCGAATTGATTTCCTAACGAGTCTAGTATACGATCGAAACGTACTTTCTCCGATCACATTACCGTGAAAGGTTTATGATTTACTTCTGACTTGACCAAGAATTTAAAAAAAAAAATCGTTAATATATTTCTATTAATGTTAAATGCATGAGAAGACGGCAATCTTTCTTCGAATTCTCCAAAGCAAAATCTTTGATATGATATATTTTACGTAACATTTTTCTCTGTTTTAGGTTCTACTTTCGCTGATTGTCGCAGTGTCATTGGTATCAACGGCGCCGCATCCCGGTGGCCATGGTCACGAACAGTAATTCTCTTTCCCATTAAATTGTTGATGTTTATATATTTTTTTCAGAGAGATATTATATAGTTTAAACCTTTTAATATATATATAGATATAATAAGAATATTCAGAAAAAAAACATAAAATTGTTTTTAGCACCCACTTCATCATCCATGTGCCACATCATATCCACAAGCATTATCACAAGCACGAGAAGAAGATTTACATACCGGTAAAAAAATCCGAAGATCATCATAAGCATCATGAACATCATGATTACGAATAATGAGCGATAAGTCATTTTGTCCCATAATTAAAAAACTTATCACGGTAGAGTTATTTAGTCATGATTATGCTACTTGATACTTTGTTTGTTGTTATTGTTTTACATTGTTAATTTTGCAAAATAAATTGATATATATGATATATATATATTTATATGAAAACTAACATTTAGCCCATAATTCACCTGTGTTTTCTGGGAACGCATGTTTCTAAAAATAAGTGTATGATTATTATTTCTTTCCTCTCTTTCTCTCTCCTTTTCTAACATGTTCCGAAGAAGTGATATGCGTGATTTTAAGAAATTATTGGAACAAATATATCCATGATTTAATAAAAAAATGATAATGATTAGATATTAATGGTATTTACAAGATGGTATTTAAAACATGAAATTTTTAAAAGTGCAATTAATTGATAAAAGCAGAGAACACGGATATATCAAGTACAGGATATTCTTTTTTATCACATGTTTATTATATAAAATAATGACAATGTAAAAATATGTACAAGTATCTTTGTGAGTATACACGCGTGTATACAGAGTATTTGGTTCTTACCCTAAGTTTTTAAATGCTATACAGGCGGTTCGAGTAATTTTGTACTGCTCGGTTTCGTTCTCATTTGTATTTCGATGAGAAAACTTCTTCTCAATAAATCCGTATCGAGAAGAATGAATTTTATATAACTTTTATTTACTCAGATTCCACCTTTTATATATATATATATATATGATAACCTGAAAATATCAATCGTTTATGAGTCGTAGAATCAATTTGTATAATATTATACTCTTATAATGAAAGTAAAAATTTATTAAGAAATCAATTAATAAAAAAGATAGGCCAATTAGAACCTAAACGCAATAAGCGAGACGAAATAAAATAGCATTTTATTTCGTATAATAAATAATTTGGGATATGACATTTATTTGTTATCCCATGAAATAAAATGCTATTTTATTACACACTATACTTATTGCATCTAGGCTCTAATTAATCTTTCTTTTTTAATATTTAATTTATATCGTTCCAGCCTTGTTTATATTAACTTTTATCACTTAAAAGTGTTAATGAGAGATTGCTGTGCATATATTTTTTTCTAGCTTTATCTTCTGATTTTACTATATCAATTATCGTAATTTCGTTTAAGTTGCAAATAAATAGTACAAACCTAAGATGATTAAAGCCAAAGATTAAGCGCTGTTGGCTTTCTAAAACCAACCCCCATGTGGCTTCTCCTCATGTACGGGTATATGTACGGGTACATGAACAGGTATGGGAACCTTCTCTACAACCGGGTAAGGTACAGGTACCTTCTCCACGTGATGCACAGGTACTGGGACAGGTACCTTCTCGACATGATGCACCGGATACGGAACGGGAACGGATACCTTCTCGACGTGATGTACCGGTACTTGCACTTTCTTCACATGATGATGATGAATCGTGTGCACCTTGTAAGGTACATGGATCACGACATGTTCACTGAAGCGAGTGCAATTATTGTTTACATTATGTCATATATGTCCATTTTTATTATTCAAATTATAGTTTTATTATATTATATATGTTATAATTTTTTAAGAAGCAGTAAAAAATATTAGTAAGAAATTTGATTTAACAGTAAATATGGATAAAATCTTTTGAGAAGAACTACACTTACTGATGATGGCCCCCCGGTAACGGCGACGCTAAAGCCACGGCCATTATTCCGAACACGAGCAACTGTAACACGAGAGGGAATTGTGGTTTGCTTGTAATGTCGAAAGTGCATCGCGCCGAGAGGTCATTTAAATGCACAGCATTTTTCTCTCTTTTTTTATCCACGTTTCACCATTCTTGCCGTTTCTTTCATACTATTTTGCATGGCGGTGATGCAAAAGCACGGTGCTTCTAATTCAAGCAGCGACGGACATCGTTCATTTAGATTTTTAGATTCAAGAGTTTCTCGCGATCAACAGTCGATGTGTTTTTTATTTTCTTTCTCTTTTAAGGATTTTTATGTTACAAGCAAAGTTTGTGTGATCTTATTAACGTAAGAAAAAATACTGTTTAAGAAAAATACATTTAAAGATACTATGTGATTTTACAGAATATTTGGAGGCGACTACAAATTCAATAATAGTCAATTGAGATTATTTATACATTAACATAAGAAATGTACTTTAAAAAAAAAATGACTGTTGTTTATTTGCCTTATTTCAAGTATCAAATATTCGAATTAGCGTGCAATTTAATTATATGAGATCACGGTTTGAATATTTTCGAAGAATCTCAAGATAATTTCTCGAAAGCAATCTCGTAATCACAGAATTCGCGCACAAAATTAACGCGATACACACTCAGCTTCATACGATACGCGTGTCAAAAGCACTGACGACCACAAAACCGACGAAGAACCTCTGAAGCCAAAAATCTAAACGCGACGAAACAATACGTGTATATTATAAATAATCACTCACAGCGATTGCGTGGGAGCGCATCTTGGACTCGGTCTGTCCTAATCTCGATCGAGTTACTTTGGAAAAAGATTCGCGGCGACGACTGGTGCGTGCTGTGCGTTGCAAACTGCGATGTTTGTCGATACGATTCTGCGTTTTGTCCATCGGGGATGTCCGCTTATAAAGGACAGACACGGCCGATGGCCAAAACCACCCGGTGAAATTGTACCGGGTGGGAGACACAGAGCGGTGCGAGACGGGATCGCAAAGTTACGTAAAAGCAAGGAAACGCGCGAAGCTCGCGTTACGTTCGTTTCGAAGCTGCGTAACTCACCGAGCGGTGCGTACGATGGGTGCCGTGTAAACCGCGCCTCTTGAATGATGCGTGCGAGTCCTCGTGGTCGGACGTACGTAACGCGACGTAATTCAAGCGGTCTCGTTCAAAGTGTGATTCTCGTCGAAAATTTGTCGAAAGAGTTTGGGAATCTCTCTGGGATAATTGTGTGACTTTCATCGTGATGTAACGACTATCAAAATTGTTTATCCGGTCATTTTGATAGATACATTGCAGAATTATCTCTTTTTGAATACGTAAAAGATTTATTTTTTATTGCAATATGCTGCACAGTGTGGATTGGAGAGAAAATATTATCCTGTTTTGTATTAATACATATAAATAATCTTTTATAATATATTTAGCATTATATTTTTTTTCTTTGTATAAATAATATACTACAATTTCGTGGTTTTGTTATAATATAACAAAAATGCATCCGCGCGTACGCGGGAAAGAAATGCTTCCGCGAGAGTGAAAAAATAAGTGAGAGTGCGCACAGAAACCTGAAAACATAAATTTCAATTTGTAGATTATACTTAAGTACTTATACCGACATTACATTGTAAAAAAATTGTAGCATTTTACATTACAACATGTGAAGCGAAGCGAATTAATCTGTGCAGAATATTTTCGTTGATGTACTTTTGATTAATGCTTAATTAATTCGGAAAGTAATCGATTAATTCTTTAAACGAAAGTTCTTTTTATACACGCGTTATATATATTCAACAACACAAAACTTTTTTTTAAATTCATATGAAAGTTTTCAGATCTTGATAAATTATATTAATTTCATTCGTAGCGCATATATGCTGCTGCCATGTTGAAATAACTTCTGGTTTCGGAGAGAAATTGAGTTTCGACTGATTCTCATGTAAGAGGTCAGAGTTCTCTGTGAAATGCAAATTCGTTATTTGAGCGTGATATGATACGGCGGACGCACACACATAACATAGTCACGGATGACATAACGTGCGACTAAATACACATGTCCGCAATTTCGAGAAAAATTGTTTCATCTTTTACTTGATTGCGTTAATGCGATACGATGTTAGACGAGCGAAAGTTTACACGAATAATGAATATTTTTATTTATTTAATGTGTGCGTAAACGGTGGGTTACACACACATAATTGCACGTATATTGCATCGGATTTATTTCCTCGTAGAAATAATTTCTTTCCGCGCGCGTAACAAATTTATATATCGAATACGTATTTTAATACATTTATCGAAATGGATTTCAGGGACTGTATAAGAAAAGAAAAGAATATCGACTGAAATCGGTGTAGCCGCGAAAAAATATTATTTTAGAATTATAAATTAAAATATCTCAAAACAAATAAATAGTAAACACGACTCGTTCTGGGGTCTTCGATTCCTTGAGATAGATATCGGTTGCGTTTAGGTTGCTAACTGATCTTGCCGTGGTTTTTCCTGTTTCCAGGCCAATTATAAAGTTTCCTAAACGAACGAGTCTCAGTGTTAAGACCAAGGTAATAATCGAGACCGTGTCATACATTGCACGCTTAATAATATTATAATTATCTCTTCCTCTTCCCCCTCTTTTTCCGATCGCGAATCGATGGGACTACCGGCGTTACATAGGAAGTAGTGCAAGTTGCATACTTAAAATATCCATCATACAGAGAGAAAGCGTTTCGTAACTCTTACACACACACATTACAACCTTGCGTATAGGGCAGGTAGGAGCACAACCGAAAAAAAAATGGAAAAGAAAAGATTAAAGTAATAAAAAGAAATAAAAAGTGATCCAGGAGAGACCATATTCTCACCGAATTCGCCAGTATCCGGTATTTCGATTATATAAGATATTCCGTAAACCTGCTTCCTGCCGAATGACTTTTACTTCATCGCCATATAAGCTATATCGCCTTGTTAATGTGTGAGTTGCACATCTTGTTATTTATGGTCAGTAATGTCTTTAATACACTTTGAGGAAAAGTATATAATTCAATAAAATATATATATTATTATTATTATTATTGTTATTATTTATTTATTTTTATGTAAATACATATGAGATGATGTATTATATGATATATATAATACATTATTTAATTTTATTACTTGAGTATATTTTTCTATCATTTTTCTCCAGTTAAATTCAAAAGTATATGTATAAAAAATATAATAATTTACAAATCTGTTTTTTTTTAATAAAAAAGAAAAAGGAAGGAGCCTTTATATGCTGTTATTTAAATGTTAGCTTACACGATTATAGGTCTAACAATAAATGTAATCTTCTACATCGCGTATCTCGATAATTACCATCTCTGATCGAACCGCGTGAAAGTCAATTGGCGCGATTCTAATGGAAATGATGATCTGATCAGTTGGTAATCGGAGAAAATGGATGGCGTGATCGATGAAAGTCAAATGTTGGAGCAGGTCCAATGGGTCTCCGACCGGGACGACGGTATGCCGTAATCGCGAAGAACGTTTAATTGACCGACAATTTTCGAGCCGGAAAGGCGATGTCGGATCAGTTGCTGCTATGTTATACTATACTACGTTTTCTGGTGTACGATTATATAAGAGGCGGTTCCGTTGCGGAAGGGAAACGCCGCTGCGAAATTGTTGTAGATATAACGATTACACTTCTCTTTTTCATTCCCTTTTTATGTAACCGCTCATAACGTGAAGTCGAAGCGATATAACGTCGGGTAATTATTTGTTTATATACCTAAGCTTATATGTATTTTTTGTGTTTGTATTATATACGATAGTAATTACTACAAGAATATTCTACGTATAAATGAAGTAATATGTGATTAAATAGATCATTTGAGAGGATTGATAATTTTTTTGGATTTGTGAATCATTAAATTTAAAAGTATCTATCAATTTTATTTCCTTTTTATGTATCATATATATTGCCTTTCTCTTTTTATTTTAAATTATATTAAATTAATTATAAGAATTTATTTCTTCTATATTTTAATTATAATAAGATATTTAAACAAAGTTCTAATATACATAATAAATGTTCAAATTTTACTTTAATATACATAAAGAGACTTGAATATTATTGTATTACATTATTGTATTACATATAATGAATATACAATAAATAAAAAAGCAAAATAATAATTTTTTACTGTATATAATTTTTTTCAATATTTTATAATTCATTTTATTATTTTTTAAATTGATTATGCTGACATTAAAATCTTATTAGTTAATTCTTAAAATTTTCTTGATTTATCATTATTTATAGGATTTAGTTTTGAAAACATTCATATGTAAATAAAATGTATGTTTTTTTATTTGTATGATTGACATTTATAGTCAACAAACAGTACAGATAATATTTGTGTGTGTTAAATCTTACAAAAAGATCTAAAGTCTCTCACACTTGTTCCGATATACACTCACATTTATGCATTAAGACATATCTTCATATCTCATAATTGCATAACGACAAATGCTCAGTGGTATGTATAGATCTCCATTTTCAGCAACCAAATTTACATTATTGTAAACAAGATTGCACAATGCTTGGTTATATTAAACTTTGCTTAAAATATCACATAAATATTCTGCGATTACTTCTTCTTTTTGAGTTTAGTGGTAACTTCAGACTGCGACTTTTGCCATTCCAATGGTTTGCGGCGATACATAGGCCACGGAGGTACAGTGATTAATGCCGCCATAACAAAGCCAGCACCCAATATATAAATTGTCTGTGAGAACTGTTGAATAACATAACCCCAGATTAAGCCAACCACCTGTAAATAAGGCAATACAAAGTTCCTATATTAAAATTATCAACATTTATGTTATTTGCATTTTTTTTTAAATTGTATCTTACACCAAATAATGTTATTATAACTCGCGATAATTTTTCTGCTCTGGCTTGGCCATCATAATCCTGAAACAAATAATGGGATACATAAACATAATACAAAGTTTCACTAGGGATATTCGAAGAATATGGATTCGCGTAAAAATTTAAATATAAATATTAAAGTAATGCTGACAAATTTACTTATTTACAATGCAAATTATTATACAGAATCTATCAAAGTTTGCAATTATGTTAACATACGGGACTCGACAACCTAACCTAACTTCGCGTAATGAGTTAACGTTATCTTGGACTAATCATGGAGGATACAATATTTCATTAATTATTTAATATAATCATTTAAACATTTTGCTACTTACCATATGCGTCGGGATGGATTTAAAGTACTGCATCCACGCGTTCATTGTAAATATAAGAACGTGGCGGCGAGAAACTGACACATAGACATACACCGATAAGGAGACGCTCGGTTCGATTTTCACGGACGTGTACAAACAACACAAGCGTGTCGCGTGTCGTACACGTTATCGAGCGCGCAGACGCGAAAGTCAGCTCCACGCACACGTGCCAGCTGTCAGATGCGGCGCAAATTTTAAAGCCGACTTCAAATAGATCTCTACACTCGTTTAAATGCGTAATGCGCGCTCTTTTATGTTTGTGCGCGTATCGCGCAAACTTCAATGTGTTTAGAGATGTAATACATCGATATATCGTGCGTGCAGCTATGTACAGAATTGCTTAATAAAGTTTTTACGGATATTTATCGATACAGAGTCTCTGTTTTTTTATTATACTCTGTTTCTGATACAATATACGTTAGATCATCTTGATATATGAATTATGAGCTTTAAATCATATAGATGTATTTATTCGCTTTGTTTATTATGTATTTTTTATCCTCTACAAAGTTTTTAAGCAGAGAATTAATTATATCTCTGTTAACCCTTGACACATAAATAGGCGTCATTTAAATTATGAATTTTGCGCCACTTTAAAAGAGTAGTCCTTTTTATACAATTACGCACAAGTATATACAAGAAATGAATTCACTCACCGATCGTTGCACCTTCGCTGCCGTCCTGCCAGCTCCCTGCTTTGTCGATGACGAATTCATCCGGATTTCACAAGGCACTCACTCGAAAAAACGTTAATTTCCAAAATTCCGATCGCATGCATGTCCATTATTGAACGCCCGGTATTCAATTTGGCGACATTTGCAGGTGATATTTACTCGCGATAACTTGGAAATAACAAAACGAGCGACTTTTACGATAATAATATCGTACCGTACTATAATTAATCACAGCGATTAATTGATTCCGTTCCTTCGACACTCACGATTGCTCACGATGCTCGATCGCGATTATACTTACACTAGCATCCCGACGCCATAATTAATTACTGTGAATATAGCACAGATGAACCCGGAAACCAACGATCCACTTTCGACTTCATTAGGGCATTGTTGCAAAATGATCCGAGCGCTAGTTTCTATTAGCGAACTCTATTGAATGCACTGGCTAATATGCATTGGCTAGTGAATTCGATTGGATTATAGATTTGTACAGATAGATCGCGCGCTCCCATTGGACAAGTAAGAAGATAGTAAGAGATAGAGAGTCAGAGTTCCTTGTCTAATTTTTTCCCTATCGGGCAAGATTCTCTATTGACTCTCTATTATCCTTTCGTATTAATGCCTTTAATAGAAGTGCGCGGTCTATTGACATAACACAAGTCTACGGTCAACGGTCAACGGCGTTGCGTGTTAAATAAAATGTATGTATACAGCCATATTAAAATAAAAATTTGAAAAATATATGTATAATATATAGCAAATATATAAAATAATTTTGTCTTTAGCTATCAATAAATGCGTTGCGATATTTATTAGATAATTGATTTATCACTTTCGATAGAATGCGTGAATAACGCAAAAAGAATTTTCGTAACATGATACAAGTGAGAATTTTTTCCTCTCTCTCTCTCTCTCTCTCTCGCACGCACCGCATTCTTCGCATTTTTCCTGACAATTTCGCTTATTATTAGTGTTATCTCGACTATCGCGATGATTAGTTCAAACTTTTTTCGATTTTCGGTTTTATTATATACACACATATTACATAAAATGCACACACACACGTTCTTTCTCTTTCTCTTTCTCTCTCGAACAATTTATTATATTATTAAAAATGTTAGATCATTATAAATATTTAATTATCTAGTAAATTAATTATCTAAAGAAAATTTCATACGTTTATTAAAAATTAATAACAAAAAATGCGAGAAAATATAAGTAGATACTGTGTGTCATGCAATTAACTATTTGTGTTTTTTATTTAATAACCGATTGTTTTTTATTCAATAATCGCGCGTGACGTCATATCTACCTTTTTACTGGAAAGCTAATATATACATATCGCGAATTCGATTGGCTGCACTTAATGCGCCCTCATTCAGCTTTCTTTATTTGGTTGGTACTAGAAACTCTGGTACCGAAAACTAAAAAAGGCGCACTTAGAGTGCGTTAGCGCGTCCTAAGTACATCTGAGGGAATTCGCCAATAGGAATTAGCGTTTGAATAATTCGCGTCAGCCGTATTTGATTTGCATATGGTACATACAGTGTCGTTAATGTTGAATGCTGAGTAGTGTTGCAGCGGAATCGGAAATAGACGGTTACCGATTTGTGTGCTTTACGGTGTATTAGGCGCGATCAATTATCGATATCGGGGGCATTCGCGGATATAATCCTGATCGAGCTTCGTAAGTGTCGAAGAAACGGATCTCAGAGTCGATGATTTAATGCCGTGATCGTTATTTTTGAAGGGGTTATTTAGCTGTATTCGCGTCACTGTGTTTTTTGACCAATATGGCCGGGCTCGTTTCTCAGAATCTCTCACGCAAGGTACGTATCATGTTCTTCAAAACAGTTTCTTCTTGATATATACGGCATTTTTCGTAACAGTTTCGCTTATTGTTAGTATTATCTTGACTATCGCGATAATTAGTACGAATTTTTCGATTCTTATTCGTATTATATATATATGTTACATATACACACACACATTTTCTTTCTCTCTCTTTGTTTCATCTATTATATACTCTATTAAAAGTGATAAATCAATTATCTAATAAAAATGTTTATCTAATGAATCAATTGTCTAATAAAATTCAACGTGTTTGTTAATAAATAAAGATAAAAGATGCTTTATTGCAAGAAAACACAAAGAGATATTATGGTCTTAAAAATATCACTTGTCTCGGCAAATCCGAGTTATGATTTTAAGTTATTGCGAATAAATATTGCTTGTAAATAATCATATAATAGTTACGGTGCGGAAAAAAGTATCGGGCAATGCATAAAAGTGTATATAAAAAAAAAGTATCGGGCAACCGTTATATTATGCGTAAATATGGTATATCGATAGGGCGATAGTTCAAATTAATTTCGCGCGACTATTAATTCCAAGTATTACGTTGAACGTATGAATAAAATTACCGAGAAATTTAATATCCCAGAATAAATATTAGCTGCAATTAAATGAGCAGTATATATTTCATTAAAAATGAATACAAATCGTAATTTGATTCCTTAAATTATTATAGAAAATATTTAGCGAAATTTCCATTTTAATATATGATATTAAATATGTTTTAATTTATTGTTTAGGAACAATTAGCAAAGTAGCAGCAGAAATGCAACGGTAGCGGAATGGCAATCAGCAGCAATACTTTGGCAACGATATTCACAGCGGCAATACAACGACGAATTACAATGGCAATGTAGCAGCAATACTATGGCAGTTCAACAGTAATATTACAATAGTGCAACGATCGGTGAGTCGATTAACTGTTTATATTTGTTTGACAAATTATTGTTTCTTCATTAGTCATAATCGTAGTTTAATAAAACTGTTCTTGTCAAGAGATTTCAAAACGTTATCTTCTTATTAAAAAATATACGTGTTGAAAATTTGTTCCATGCTATTGCACGTGTAAATTTATAGGTGTGCATTATTAGAGTAATTAAAATGTTTGGTTAGACGGTGTACAAATAAAATTGCGGACAATTAAATATTTGTATAATCGTAATATATAATGCATATCATTTGTGCAGCGTTCTGTTTTTTTCTCCTTTAGTAACCAAATTCGATTGCGAAAGAAATCGCAAATAATGTTATTTTACGGTATTCTATTTATATCAAATATCTCGCCACCCTCCCCTGTTTATGCAACAATGTTAATTATCGCGGATTTAATGAGTCATTTTCACGTGTAACTTTTATTAGCTCTTTGCACTCGGCTCGGCAGACAGAATACACGGACAAAATAGACGGATACACGATTAATCTCGCTGTTCGCGGCGCGTGACTTGGCACGAGGTCTGTATCTTTTGATTTAAATGACAGCAAGACACGACTTTCGAAAGCACCCGCTATCAAAATCTCGGCAATGCGAATAATCAACGCCGATTAGCGTACGAGTATGCTCTGTCAAAAAGAAAAAAAGAACGCCGCCAAATTTCTACGTTCGGTATATGTTCTTATTGTTAGAAGTAAAGAGCCTCATAGAGATTCCCTCGTCGTCGCGGCGTTTAATGCCGCTATCCGATAACAGT